TCTGGCGGTCGAACGACCCTTTCACAGGGGTCGCCTAAGACCATCCTGCATATCAGATATTTACATGACGATTCATAACAGTAGCACCATCACAGTTATGAAGTAGCAACGAGAATAATTTTATGGTTGGGTCACAACATGAGGAACTGTATTTAAAGGGCCAGAAGGTTGAGAACCACTGCCCTAAAGAATGGCTATTCAAAGTCTACAAAAAAATTGTTAGGATAAACAAATTCAGTAAAGTTGCAGGACACAAAATCAACATGCGAAAATCCACTGTGTTTCTGTACACTAACAGCAGCTATCAGGAAGAGAAATTAAGAAAACCACGTATTGTGGTTAAGCAATGACCTATGAACAGACGATCACGGTTCGATTCCCGGTCAGGGCACACGCCGGGTTTGCAGGCATGACCCCCGGTGTGGGGCGTGCAGGAGGCAGCCAATCGATGATTCTCTTCCATAATCGATGTTCCTCTCTCTCCCTTCCTCTCTGAAATCAATTAAAAAAATTAAGAAAACAATTCCATTTACTACCACACCAGAAAGAATAAAATACCCAGGCATGAATCTAACCAAGGAGGGAAAGGCCTCTACACTGAAAACTACTAGGATAAGACACCGATGAAGGAAACGGAGGAAGTCACAAATACATGGAAAGGTACTATGTGCGCAGGTATTGAAAGAATTAGTAATGTTAAAATGTGCATACTACCCAAAGTGATTCACAGATTCCATGCAATCCCTATCAACATTCCAACGACATTTTTCACAGACATAGAACAAACAAGCCTAAAACTTGTGGCAACCACACAGACTTTGAAAGGCCAAAGCAATCTTGAGACAGAAGACCAAAGCTGGAAGCATTCTGCCTCGATTCCAAACACAGGGTGGGGCCAAAGCAGGTTTACAGTTGCCCCACCTTGTATATTACGAAGTTACAATCATGAAAACAGTATGGAGTTGGCATAAAAACAAGGGACATAGATCAGTGGAACAGAATACACAGCCCAGAAATAAACCCACACACATATGGTCAATTAATTTATGACAACGGAGCCAGGAATATACAATAGGGAAAGGACAGTCTCTTTAATAAATGATGTTAGGAAAACTTGACAGCCACATGCAAAGGAATGAAACCGGACCACTATCTTACACCATACATAACTCAAAATGGATTAAAGACTTGAACTCACACAACTCAATAGCAAAGAAACAAACATTCTCATTCAAAAATGGGCAGGGGATCTGAATAGACATTTTTCCCTGAAGAACATGTACAGATGGCCAACAGGTACATGAAAAGATGCTCAATCTCATTAATCATCAGGGAAATGTGGAGCCACAGTGAGGGAGCACCTCACACCTGTTAGGGTGGCCATCAAAAAGACAGGACATAACAAGCAAGAATGTGGAGTAAAAGGAACCCTTTTGCACTGTTTATGGGAATGTAAACTGGTGCAGCCCCTACGGAAAAACAGAACCCCATGGCAGTTCTTCAAAAAATTCACAACAGAGCTACCATATGATCCAGCAATTCCACTTCTGAGCAGTTATCCAAAGAAAATGAAAACACAACCTCAAAAAGACATATGCACCCCTGTGTTCGTCGCAGCATTATTTACCCAAGACATGGAAACAACCTGTGTCCATCAATGGATGAATGGATAAAGACACATACGCATACACACAATGGAATATTATTCAGCCATAAAGAGAAGAACGTTTTGCCATTTGAGACAAGATGGATGGAACTTGAGGGCATTACGCTAAGTGAAATAAGTCAGACAGAGAAAGACAATTACCATGTGATATCACTTACATGTGGAATCTAAAAAATAATTGAGCTCATAGATACAGAGAACAGTTTGGTGGTTGCCAAAGGCAGGGGGTTAGGGAGTGGACGAAATGGGTGAAAGGGGTCAAAGGTACAAGCCATGAGGATGTAATATGTAGCATGGTGACTACAGTTAATAATACTGTACTGAATACTTGAAAACTAAGAGAGCAGATATTAAAAGTTCTCATCACTCACAAAAAATCTTGTAACCACATATGGTGACAGATGCTAACTAGACGTATTGTGGTTATTATTTTGCAATATATATAAATATTGAATCATTATGTTGTACACCTGAAACTAATTACATCTTCTGTTAATTACATCTCAGTTATATGTCAATTTGTATCTCAATAAAATATGGAAGTGGTTGAATCTCTGATCAATTCATGACTCTGAGTGGGGCAGGCTCACCGAAGCAGCATGGACTGTTAACTGAGAGAATAATACACAGTTGCTATCTTGGATCTCTCTCACACAAAATTAAATCCAACTCAACCAACTGCCCCAGGCACCCATAGAATGCAGGATTTAATGTGTCTCAAGACCCAGCAAGAACAATTAACCACTGGTTTTGGGAGGGGACTTATGGAATTATTTGGACCATTTTTCTCAATCAAATAACAATGACCAACATAACTAATATTAGGTAGTAGTAGCTTTAAATGTTTTCATATGAAGCAGCAACTTAACATAAAACTCAACTCTGAGCTTCCTCGCAGCCAGGGCCAAGAGGGAAAGTATACGGGGGACACAGCCCTTGTTATTTAATGACGAGGAGCATACCAGTTCAAAGTAAAAACAATTTCAGGATCCTCAGTTCTGAAAGTCAGGTTGGAATGGGGTTCCTTGTATATAGGGGCGTTCTAAATATAACATAATATTTTCGGTGACAGTTTTTAAAAAAAACCACATAAATGTTCTGTGTACAGAAATTTACATTTGACATGCTTCCAGTCTTCACTGAGGATATGATAATTAAGCACAGTCTGATGAAATCCGTACTTTGGGGAAATAGCTTTTCGGTGATTTGTGTAAATTTGAGGATAAGTTTGGGAAATCAATTCTGAAGCATATTCTCAAGAGAGGGTTCCTTCCTATGCGCCAGCTGGACGATTCTCCCACCACGGGCCCCCGTATGGCAGGGTACGTGTTTCCTTTCAATTTGACGAATGCAAGTTCCATACTCTCTTCAAGTTCCCGTGGTCCTGTTTCCATTTTGATGAAGCCACAGCACCTCATTTTATGAGTCCGGGCAAAACTCTTTTCTGGGTTGCCATTGTTCGGGCTGTCAAATGAGGGGAGTTGAGAACGCTTTCAGGGGCCTTCCTGTTCTTTCGGCATCCAGAGCTAACGGTTTCCACACAGGCCTTCTAGCCAGAGGTTGTAAAAAGGGGTCTGTGAGCCACACTCAGTCCTCAGACATGTTTGGCTTGGCCCACAGTTCACATGGAGTTTTGCCAACATTCTTTAAATCAGCAAATTTCAGCAAAAAATTCAGAGTAGACATATCTGAAGTTGGCAATCCTTACCTTAACACAAATGGCTATAATTAGAGTAGTTCTCACTTAACGAACGTCACTGGTAGGTTCTGCAACTTGAAGGGAAATGATGTGTAATGCAACCAATTTTACCACAGGCTAATCGATACAAACAAGAGTTAAGCTCCTGTGGTATCGCATCAAGGTTTTAATGAAACGACACAGAATGAGACCATGCTATTCGAGGACCCGCTGTTTCTGGACTTGAGGGGCAGGTGCCCCTTTCAGTTGGTGCCCCCTGTCCTGCTGCCTCCATCTACACCCAGGTCCCCACAACACCTGCGTGGCGGGCCTTGGTAAGCACACGTGGCTTCCCGCAGAGACCTAGGACCAACATGGCCATGTGTTCGGGATCGAGGCCTCCCTCGTGCTCTCAGCAGGACCCACATTCTGGGGGATTCCTGCTGTGGAATGAGTCTGCAAGAAGACACCTCTCCAGGTCGCTCCCCAGCCCAACGGGTCCTCGCAGCCACGCCCTGTAACCAACGGAAGCTGTGACCCTGACCCGAGCTGAGGGAGGCATCGTCTTCCCTCCTGTCACTCCCGCCCCACAATCGCCTGCTCACAGCAACAGGACTTCCTGAAGTTGCAACATGCACGCCACAACATCTGATTTCACAACTGCTGAGGAGCCCGGGGGGAAGTATTTATTATTAATTAAAGCAAACCAAATTAATTGAGTGGAGGATTCTGCAATGGTGTCGGAGGTGAGGGACTGTAATTGTGTCTTTGCCTCAGGCAACCGGCCGGGGAGGTGAGTCTTCAGAACCCGCCAAAGTACCTCCGCCAAGGTCAACAGGAAGCCTTGCTCAGTCTCACCTGGGATGCAACACCGGGAGGCAGACAGTCAAATGTGGACCAACGGTCCATCGCCATGCCAACTTCTGGGCCATTCTATAGCGGCCACACAATCCCCACATACCATACACTTCTCTCCATTCTGCACACCAGCTTTATCCCCATTCCCTAGCCCAAGGTTCTTCTGGAACCTTCTTCCATGCTAATGGTCTAAAGCAGTGGTCAGCAAACTCATTAGTCAACAGAGCCAAATATCAACAGTACTTCTTCAAAATAGACTTGCCCAGGCCGAAAACCGACTTCTGTGCATGGGCCACGAAGTTTCAACTGCACTGTTCGTGCGCCCGCATTTGGTATTTTGTGGAAGAACCACACTCAAGGGGCCAAAGAGCCACATGTGGCTCTCGAGCCGCAGTTTGCCGACCATGGGTCTAAAGTCAATAAATCAGTCTCAGATGGCTTTAACAACATCCTTAACAGACGGAGACCACAAACTCATGCACAGGTGCTTCTGGCTTCTCTCTGTACTGTATTTCATATGTTAAGTGCAGTCCTCCCCCCCATTCCCCCCCCCCCGGCTTTCTTTTAGTTCAAAATCCTTTGAAAAGGTCACTTTCTATCACTACTATGGGCAGATCAATCTAATACATATAGACATAAACGCACAACTTTTAAATTAAAAGAAAGTTGTCCACGCATTAGCCAAAGTCATCTAGGGTGGCCCCTGGGTACAGGGGCAACACAGGGAAAGACACTACTCCGAGGCCAGGCCCCCAGCGCCACGTCCCGAGGCCCCACCCGCCCGCAGGCCCCCCTCACCTGTCCGGTAGCCAGTGCTGTTGAGGTACACGGCAAAGGTGCGGCTCTCGTGCTGCGCCTGCCAGGAGGGCGAGGAGCAGTTCTCGTTGTTGGTGTAGGTGTTATGGTTGTGCACGTACTTCCCGGTGAGGATGGAGGACCTCGAGGGGCAGCACATGGGCGTGGTCACGAAGGCGTTGACGAAGTGCGCCCCGCCCTGCTCCATGATGCGACGCGTCTTGTTCATCACCTGCATGGAACCTGCAACAGAGCGGGAGGTGAGATGCCGCCGCCGGCGGGTTCTGACTCACGCCCCCGGGGGGGGGGCATGGAACAATGGGGGACCGGCGCTGAGTGGCTCTCAGCCGGATGGCACCCCATTCCCGGGGAGGGGAACACATTTTGGAAATCTCCCGGGGCCGATGGATACGACTGGCATTTGTGGGCAGCGGCCAGCAAGGCACTGCGGGACCGACCTTCACCAAGAAAAGGCATCCTGGTCCCCAGTCCTCCCGGGCGTTTATGGGGTGTAGGTAACAACCTGTTTATAAGTTACCTGAGCCTCGCATGGAACTCTGTTTTACACAGAAACAGAAGATTTTCTTTGCAGGGTATTAATATACACTGATTTTCTTTTTTTCCTTTGGAAGCAACTGCTATGTAAACCGAGGGAAGACTACACTTTTGTTTTGTTTGGAACTTTCCCAAGAATTGTTTGCTCTTATTGGAATCTGGTCACGCCAACCCCCTGGCTCACCTCTGAGTACGTCTCAGCCGAAATGCTCGACATCAGCCCCCTCCCCCCAGACCTCGCCCATCAGCGGAGCCTCTCCCAGCGCCCTCTGGAGTCACCCTGGTCCCTAATTCCCTTGAGCTCTTATTACACGAGCAGCATGTGTTATTAGGGCTTAATTACACACCACCAGGTACAGTGGTTCCATTCATGCCTATTCTTGTTTCTCAATGAAGCGTTCAGCAGACTACGGCACGCAGGAAGAGAGGGAACTAACGCGTGTGGGCCCCTTACTGGGGGCAGGTGCTTTCACAGTCCCTGCTACGCCCTTGCTCAGTGCTCAATCCTCAACGCCCCCACAGGGTGTGACAACACAGCAGGCGCTCAATAAATGTGTGAAGAGTGGATGCCTAATCGTACACTGTGGCTGGGACCCAAGCTCTTAGCAGCTTTAATGGAAACAGTGGAATTTCTCTTCCTTCTATGGCCAGCGCATTCTTTTCCGTTTGCCTGCAGCCTGCAGGGTCTATAGGACTGAATGATGGCACACTCTCTAAGATGCATCCACATCCTAAGCCCGGAATCTGTGAATGGGACCTAATTTGGAAAAAGGGTCTTTGCAGATACACTTAGGACCGTGAGGTGAAATCGTCCTGGACTACCCGGGTGGGCCCTCAATCCAATGGCAAGTGTCCTTACAAGAGACAGAAGCAGGAAGACACAGACATAGGGCGAACGGTGGCATGAAGATGGAGGCAGAGAACAGAGGGACGCAGCTCAAGCCACGGATGTCTCGAGCCCCCAGAAGCCGAAAGAGCCGCAAAGGATTCTCCCCGGAGCCTTCGGAGGAACACAGCCCTGCGGGCAGCCTCGTTTTTAACTTCTGTCTCCAGAACTGTGAGAGTACATTTTTGTTGTTTTAAGCCACCCAGTTTGTGAAAATTTGTTAGGACAGCAGCAGGGAAGCAATGTAGCATCTACGGGACATTTGCGGTTCTTGCTGGGGAGCTGCTGGTCCCAAGCACCAAGAATCCCCTAGAGGCCTGAAAACAAGCAGTCAGACCCCCTCCACACTCTGTCCCTAAAGGCTATGAATGAAAAGGAGATTTACCCACCTTTCTGCCAAATACAGAAAGAAACAGAGCCAGAGCCTCCCTGAGGCAAACACAGATCATATGTCTTCATGCTTAAAACCATCCAATAGCTTCCCATTGCACTCACTCACACAAAAAAAAGCCATTTTCTTCCTGTGGCCTAAGACTCTTCGAGACCTCTCTAAGTCCGAGTCCCCCCTCCCCCCTCCTCACCCCCCTCTCCGGTCAACCCACTTCCAGTGCTTGTCTGACCTCATCTTCTCCCTTCTCCTTGCTCAGCTTGCTGCACTGGCCTCCTCACTGTTTCTCAAATGCTCCAAGCTCATCCCTGCCCCAGGACCTTTGCACTTGCTATTGCTCTGCCTGAGACATTTTCTGAGATTTCACTTTGGTTGGTTTGTCCCATTATTTAGATCTCAACTTAGAGGTCACCCCTGCATCAAAGTCACCTCTTCCCCATCTGAAGGAGCCCCACCCTGCTTACTTCCTCCTGCCACACCAGTGTGCATTTCTTCTTAGCATTTCTCTCCTGCTGAAATGGTGTTTTCCTGGTTTGCTTGGTTATGATCTGCCTCTCCCCCTGGACTGGGAGTTCTAGGGGATCCAGGTGCTGTCTACCCACTCCCCCCCATTCCTTACAGAGCAGGAATATATCATTGGTGCTCTGTAAAACTCCCCGAATGACAGGAAAACAGCAAAGCCTGCCCTTTCAAGCCCAGTGCAGAGGCGGTTTTATAAGAGACACCCTCCCGGAGCCAGGTGTGTTTCCTGAGCCTCTTGGCCAAGGTTGCTCCCGGAGGGTGGAGGAAAGGACCTGCTTTGTGTTCGAACAGGAACTGTCAAGCCTGGGACTGTGTGAGCATCTGTATCAAGGTCACATGCCCTTGTGAGAAGTCCCCAGGGGTCGCAGCTGTAACTGGTGGGCAATAATAGGCTTTCCACCAGGTGTGATGTTTTCCTTTGAAGGGGATGGAGGAGGTGAGCTGAGGCCCCCCTCAACCAGCTGGTGCTAACTTGCTGAAACCTGATGGAGCCTGGGGGATCTCACCAGCCCCAGGCCGCCTTCTGCTGGCCAATCCATTCCTTCCACCTTGAATTTTTACCACCAACTAAGATATCAAGGCCACGCCCTAGAAGCCCAAGCTTGAATATCGGCCACTTTCCCACCTCATGGCTTTTGCCAGAGAAGTGTCCTCCCCCTGGGATGCTCCCTCCTGGCCTCCTTCAGGTTATTGACCAAACATCAGACATCCCAGAGAGACCTTCCCTGACCCAGTACTGAACTCGCCCTTCCCCCTCCAGGCCTCCCCACTCTCTTCCCTGCCTCACTTCCCTCAGGCCGAAAGCCGTTTCTAGTTCACTTGTTTGCACGCTGCCTGTGGCTACCACGGGAACAGCTCCATGGGGGCAGGGATTTAGGCCTGTCCTGGACGGTGTGGCTCAGCTGGTTGAGCATAGTCCCAAGCCGGTTCAGTTCCCACTCAGGGCACATGCCTGGGTTGTGGGCTTGATCCCCAGTAGAGGATGCAGAAGCCAGCTGATCCATGTTTCTTTCTCGCAACAATCATCCTCTCCCTCTCCCTTTCTCTCTCTCTAAAATCAATTAGAAAAAACACACACAACTAAACAAAAAGGACCTGCTTTGTTCACTGTCATATTCCCAAGCCTAGAACAGTGCCTGGCACATAATGGATGCTCTCAGTAGATATCTGCTAAAATAACCAAAAAAATCATCTTACTCTTTGGGTTTCCATATAACTCAGGAGCCCAAGTTACTTTGTGTCCATGGATGTACTGTGTATGTGGGTGTTGTGCAGGGGATTTAAAAATTTAACTTTCAATAGTACTAAACAGATCATATGCTCTCTAGTTGGCTGCACTCCCCAGCACTCCCTATAGTCTCACACACATTATCTGCCTGGTCCCTGAAGGCCTTGGTTTTGCAATTCCTAATGTAACTTAGCTGTTGATCAGCTCCAACCTGTTTGTGGGGTAGAGGGCCGTTTCTATGTCAAGAGAATTCATCCTTATTATTAACGTGGTGACTGTCATTGGCTGAAAGTTGATTGTGTACATTGTGCTGGGCACATGACATACACCGTTTAACTTAATCCTCCCAACAGCTCATTTACCAGAAGAAGGAACGGGGTGCAGGGAGTGAAATGACTGGTCGAGGCCGCAGAGCCAGCTGGGGAAGTGGGATGTGAGGACTCAGACCCAGGCTTGTCTGATGGGAGAGATGGGTGCTGGGTGTCACTTTAGGAAACATTCAGTTCATGCCACGTGGGAGGTGGTGACACTGAACAAGGAAGTGCGCATGTACTTGATCAACTCTTGGCTAGAGCAAGGCTCAGAACACTCCTTGGACTCTAGGCATATCGGTCCCCTAGCCATCCCAGAGGTGACCTTGGCTGGCACAGCAGCAGTGAGAGTGGCACAGGGTCACAGCACCAACCACCGGGATGCCAGTGCGGGGAGGGGCTCCTTTCACTCCTGGTAAAGTCCAGGAGAGTCTCCGTAACACCGCACACCGTCTACTTTGACACGGAGGGAACCGCCACCTGCTTGGAGCCCCAGGAAGGCAGCAGAATTAGCTTATATTTGATCACATGTTCTACTTTCCTTCCATTTGGGGCAAGGAATGCGAGCTTCTCTCACTCAGGGTAGTGGGATCCTGTTCTATTTTTTTTTAAAAAATTAAAGATAAGTAAATAAGCGTACAGGTGGCACAGGGATATGGTGGAAACTGTGGAAGGCCAGGGGCCGGCGGTGCTCGGGACGCACTGGCTTGGTGCAGCCCAGAACTGTCCACCCAGTGGTGCCACTTGGAAGAGGTGCTAATAGACACCTTGGGTGCCACGCACCCAAAGCTGAGCTCCTGCTGTCACCTGTCCCCTCGTGGCTCCTCCTGCAGCTCCACCCTTTGCCTCCAGTTACTCGGGAAATCATCTTGGCTACTCCAGGGCCCCGTATTTCCATTCCCACATCTAATCCATCAGCAACGCCTGCTGTTCTTAAAGCATGTCCACAGCAGAGCCCTGTGGCCTCCTCTCTGGGATGCAGCTCACCCTCTTTCCTCTGAATTAAGTCAACTGCTTCCTGACCGGACTCTGTTTATTCCCTATGGAGCAGTCAGAGTGCCCCTCTCCTCAGCATCCTCCATAGCTCCCACTTACTCAGAACAAAGTCCCCACGGTCACCACAGGCCCTGCAGGACCTGGCCCTGGCCCCGGCCCCGGCCCCAGCCCCTGCCCCAGCCCCAGCCCCCTCCCAGCCTATTCTGCAGCCAGGCTCACACCCACTTCAGAGCCTCTGCCATGCTATTCCTCCTGTCTGGTCCCCCCACGGCCTGTGCCCTCACCCCCTTCTGGTCTCCACTCAGAAGTTCTCTTCCCAGTGAGGCCTTCCCTGCCCCCCACATCCACAATTTTAAT